CATAGATAGCTTCTTCAATAATTTCCACAGCCTCGACATGATTGTCTTCAAAATTTTCGTCATCTCTGTTGTGACTATATTAATTTCTAAATTATCATCAGCTGGGGAGATCCTTACTTCCATGACCTTGTCAGCCATATCATCATTTGAATTGTCAACAACGTTCTCTGAGACATCTCTCTCTGTACCCATCTCTTCTGGAATTTCATCTCTTTCAGAGGCAACGTCTGGTGTTTCTGTCTTTGCAGTGACTTCCGCTCTAATGACTACGTCATGAAGATCATCCTTAAAATCACCCTCAAAAGAGATATCGCCTTCTCTATTAGAATGCGCTGAGCAGTTGTCCTCCACAATGATCTCTTCCGGAATATCTTCCTCTGAATGGTTATCATCTCTACTGGTGACCTCTGACCTCACTAATATATTACGCTAACACACATGCACAGAAACAGAAACACAATCATAATTCAGTTGGAATGTATGAAAGGTGGCGTTACGTCTTTTGACAACTACATTTGCGTGGATTAAAAGTAACGCAATTGGTAAGCAAACTGAACCGTTATCTAGCGTTCCTGGCACGATATTCGGAGCTTTTCACAGGATGTCGATTCTTGGCCAATCCCCATACTTCTGCTTCTTTTCATGCGAAGTGGACCATGATCTGAAAGAAAATATGAATTCAAATGAATAAAAGGGTAAGTTCCTAAAGAAACTGTGGTGCTACGTCGGTGGGAGAGTATAACAGAGTAATTTAGTAATCAAAGGAGTTGATAAGGTAAATTGGCCACCGTTAAGAGGTCAAAAGCCGTCGTTTCGAGTGTTAACTCTTACCTAATCCTTGTGAAAAAATTATCATGCAGTTATGTAATTCTCCTCCTGAGTAGTTGTCGTCAGTTTTAGTCCAGTCAGATCAAACTCCTTCAGAACTTGCTCTGTCACAAGATATTTCTGAGACATGTCCTTCAGAAGACTTGAGTTATATTCATTCTATAGGCACTGTAAAATCTCCTGTGAAGTAAAACGTCGTGTTAGTACCAAACTTCTAGACTGAAGTTCTAAGACCAACACCTGACGCACGCCTGTTAATGATTGGGGCTTTTTGGAAAGGTTACTGTTTTTATTACAAAAAGGTATTTACCACATATTTGATAGCTGAATAGCTAGAGATTTAATAAAACATTAAATATAAAAAGAATATTATTAAGACATGATGTTTCCCCCAGCGTGAAAACAAAGATGCTACCGATTTATATAACTTTAGAAACTTTTGATGATGGCAATTTATATTATCAACTCAGTTGATAAAAATAAATAATCTTGTAATAACCCCCCTCCCCTCTCTCCCCCCAAACACACGCACAAAAACGCAGTACCCTTGGCATGCGCTGTTTAAGGGAGGATTCTGGTTGAAATTTTTAGTTAAATTACGAACTCAGTCATTTTTTTTCTACTCGTTATTAGACAGGAAAATTTTCTTCAGCTTTCAGGTATCAACGCTTTTAGTATCAGAAATTACCAAAAAAATGTTGAAAAAATTCAATCTTTATGACGTGAACAAATTTGTCGATCTGTTTCTACGGCAACCGTTTCAAATAAATGCACGTCAAATCCAAGGCGTTTGGAGGTTTTTTTAGAGTCCGATGATTCGTTTGTTCCTGTAGTTCATTCCAAGATTTATCTTTTCTATGTTTCCAAAGCGTAAAGAGGCCTGGCTGCTAAGTAGATAATGTTGTTTATATTGATTCCAAGTGAATTTATCTCATAATCGTAACAACGCTATGCCAAAAGGAGGAAAAATCGGTCAAAACAGTCCTTTCTGAAAAAGAATTGTCAACAAAAAAAAAATCCAAAATCAGTAAGTCCAAAAGTACAAGAAAGTTCCCGTGGAACAAGCGAGAAATGATGCAGCTGAAATCTCGTTCACGATGTTGTGAGAGAACAGATTCCACGCCTTCCAAAGCTCTTCTGATGAAGCATAGATCCAAAAGGTGAAATTCCAGAAGGATACCGTCTTGTGTCCATAGACAGTCTCGTAGAATTTGCAAGGAGAATTCATTCTAATTCGCCATGTTCTTCCGGTGAGGCAATTATTTTTTCTTTCGCAATTCAATTAGTATTCATTATAAAAGGTGCTTCTTTACTGCTTTTCTCGTCTTGCATCGTTAGTATTAAGTTAATTCTTTAATTTTGCTATTGTAGACCATCAAATACTTCGAGAAATGAGCCCAAGCCGATTTGGCCTCAGCAGCAGCACATGTACTATTTGTGATGATTGTGGTCTTGCTACTGGTGATCAGCGGAGCTCGCAGAGCGTAGCCGCATAATTATACCAAATAGTAGTAACCCATCAAGCCGAAAAAATTTGGATGTACGACCATACGACTGCATAAGGTGCTACTTTTAACATGCGTGGTCAACTGTACCGCGGGCACGCCAACGCTACGGCTTTGTTCAGTAGTCCAAGTGCACTGGGTTCCGAGTCAGACGACCCGGGTTCTTTTCGTTATCCTTGAGATACATGGCTAAAGTATATGTTAGAATCACCGAATGGTTTTTGCCAGTGAAATGGGGATTGGCAGAGAAGATATTTTTTAGATACCCACAAATGGCTTTTTCAATTTGGTTTTATCTATTTGGGAAGAGCAACTGGCTGGGCCAGCTGTTGAGGGCCAAAACCAGAAAAGGAAAGCACCAAAAAGGACTCTGAGGGAATTTAAAAGGACCCTGGATCAACATTAAAAAATAAAGAGTTGCTACAAAAAGAGATGAGGAGCAATGGAAAGAGGGCAATGTTGCTAGTGCTTTAAATGAATTAACTGTTTCTAAGAAGAGTTGAATGTTTATTGAATGTTTATTGAATGTTTCTCAGATTTTGCTTTCCAAATTTTTTTTAAGCTGCAATTGCTAAAAAAGTTTTAAGATGCCTCCCTTAGGCTTTTTTCAATTTGGTTTTATCTATACCAAATTTTTGGTTACATACGAAAAATACAAACAATGGATTAAATTCAGTTGATGTTATTCCAGATTAAACTCAATACAAAAGTATGCTGGTACTATGGCAATGCAATTTGGTGAAAATCAAAATTGCTCAATGGCTTAGTAGGAGAGTTTGTGGTGTTACTGTGAGAAATATTATGCTTTCTGTATAAATAGAACAAAAAATATGAAGGGGGGGGAGGGGCATGAGAAAAGTGAAGAAAAGCCTCCATGAAGAATTTGGTTAATATTTAACCATAAATTTGCTTATTATGGTATGCAAACCATATGTCACCTTAGGTAGTGGGTTAGTCTATTTGCATGCAAAATTCTATGAAGATGCATTTACCCTTTAAGGCCCATTAGTGACCTAGACAGAATTTCTCCTCACATTATAAGTATGATATCAAGCAGAAAAGTAATGAGAATAAAGAAAAATATCAATTAAGGGATTGTTGGTTGATCTAATTCCATATTCTCCAAACTATCATCACATAAATTGTGTGGCAGACAGTAAGGAGAATTACTCAAGAAATCTTGAGAGTTAAAGGGTTAAATAGCTGGAGTTTTATGTGCTTTACAATCTTTTACACATTTGGGCTCAAAATGTAGCCAGACTCCCCCCTTAAGACATGTGTGGTTTACATAAAAATGCTGGCAAGTTGACCAGTCCTACTATTAAAAGTTAATTACAATTGCGCGTCCAAAGTCTTGAAAAGGTAGAACTGAGCTATGGACGACAATTTGATGCCCTACCGTCCCTTCCCTGATATTATATTTTTGTTGGGCTTTCCCATGATACGCTCCGAACCCATTTACTTCCGCTTTTCACGGGTATGCCGACGCTAAAGAATCACAGACCGTAGTTCGATGTAGTTCGAACGAAAAAAACTCTAAAGGTAATGCCCTTGATTTGAAATTTTCTCTGCGTGAGCTTATCTCCAACTCATCATTTAAATTGCTACTGAAGATCTATTAAAGATATAGCCTTTGTGATTAGGAAATCTGTCGAATGAGCGCAATTTAAGTGAGTGAAGTGTGAACAAGCTCCCAAATGGAAATCTCCGAGATCTTCATCAGATTCGAATGTCTAAGAAATGTCGTTTGCGCTAGTTGAAGGATGATTGACCAGCAAATCAGCTCAATCAAAACAATACTTAAGTATTTTGAGCCTCGCTGGGTTCCTGTTCGGTCAAAATTTAGGTTGAAGTTGATAAATTGATTCCTCCACAGAGAATGATCAAAGCGGCAAGCGTGTCGTTAGTTTATCATCATTACCCCGCTAAAGCGAATGGATAAAATTCTTTGTTTTTGATAACTGATACATCATACATTGTTACCTCGGGAGAGAATGATGATATGAAATTTGTGTATCAACTCCTGTAAATCATAGGAAGTAAACGACGTAGGTGGCTAGCAAGCACGTTGTGACTGCTAAGTGATTTCTTTCTTGTGTCACGCAACGTACTACACATTCTAGCGCTCCTAGTTTCCCTTCTTTGAGGAAACGTATTTCAAGTCTCTTGTAACTGAATAATGTATTCATAAACTGAAAAGATTGTAAAGTAAAAGGATTATAGACTTTTTGCAAGAACAGTCCTTAAATATGACTTAATTAAGATGCAGGTCTTGAGATTTCGAGTCACTTGTTCGATTATTATAATTATAAGCTAAAGGGACTAAGATCAGAGTATTTCAGGTATTTTTGTAAAATTTCTCAGCCTACATAGGCTTGAAAAAACACATCTAAGTAGTTGAACACCAACTCCTTGCCAGCAAAATTATACCCACATAGCATGGAATGAAAATTTCTAAATAATATTATTATTGAAAGCAATCAATTGTGATCCTCTCCTCTTAAATCATCCATCCATCCTACTTAAGCTGGGACATTTTATATTAGCCATATCTGTCATTTGTGAGATTAACTGTTCACTCTGTTGATCTATTTTGCAGTTTGGGTTGCAATCATGAGGTTAGGGAGGTCTTGTAACTGATCCTGCCTCAGTTTTTCCTTCTTTAAAATGGCTGCCACTCTGGACCCTGCTGAGGTGCTTCATTCTTCGAGAGGGAGAGATAATTTTCAACGTCTGGCTCGGCTTTTGATAAGTGGAGGTACTGTACTATTAAGGGAGGTTTTTGACATCAAATGTCCATCAAGTAATCTTCCTACTACACTTCAGAATCCAGCCATGAAGAAGCTACTTAAGGCAGCAAAGCTCACCAAACCACAGATGGACTGCCTGTACCCTTCCCCAGGGATGTATGGAAAGTCAACAGACTTTGATATAACTCTCCTTTTCCGGTTGCTAAGGACAATATGTGGCCTCACTCCTCCTGTCACAGGCTGGGATGCACTACCAGCAAGTACAGATGACAGTTTAGAAGCATATTTAGCCAGAATAAAATATTACCGCAATTTGATTTATGGTCATGTGAGGGAGAACATGGAAATCTCAGATGACAAGTTTTCAGTTCTTTGGGGAGAAATTAGTGAGGCTCTGGTGAGAATTGCGGGTCAAGTCAGTCCTGCAAAGGCAAAAGAATGGCAAACTGCTATTGATACATTTTTAAAGGATCCCCTCACAGAGGAGGACAAGAGAAATGAGCAGGAATTGCAACACTGGTACCAGAATGATACAGAAGTAAAGGAATACTTGGAAAAAATAGAATCTTCAGTGAAGGATTTGGGGAAATGCTTAGAACATGAAGTTCGAAAACAAGCCCAAGAAATTAAAGATGAGCTTGGAGGGAAAGTAGAATCTACAGCGCAAAAGGTTCAGCACTTAGGACAAGAGCTTCGAGATGAAGCCCAAGACATCAAAGATCAGCTTGGAGGGAAAGTAGAATCTACAGTGCAAGAGGTTCAGCACTTAGGACAAGAGCTTCGAGATGAAGCCCAAGACATCAAAGATCAGCTTGGAGGGAAAGTAGAATCTACAGTGCAAGAGGTTCAGCACTTAGGACAAGAGCTTCGAAATGAAGCCCAAGACATCAAAGATCAGCTTGGAGGGAAAGTAGAATCTACAGTGCAAGAGGTTCAGCACTTAGGACAAGAGCTTCGAAATGAAGCCCAAGACATCAAAGATCAGCTTGGAGGGAAAGTAGAATCTACAGCGCAAGAGGTTCAGCACTTAGGACAAGAGCTTCGAGATGAAGCCCAAGACATCAAAGATCAGCTTGGAGGGAAAGTAGAATCTACAGCGCAAGAAGTACAGTGCTTGAGGCAAGAGTTGCGAGATGTAGCCCAAGACATCAAAGATCAATTAGAACTTGGTGGCCAACCCAATTCCTCAGCTGGAGGTCAGCTTGTTTATTTTTTTCTTTAAAGTAAAGTATTTTTCCTCTAACACAGGCACTTACACAATGTATCAGGGTTACCTGTGCAGTGCTCACTGTTACATGTATTTTGACAGAAATGGCTTCGTACATTTTTGAAGCAGAGAACTGTCAGTTATTTGTTATTTGACTATAGCTGGACAATGACTCAAAGTAATTGTCTGTTTTGCCTCTTTTGTCATGGCTAGTTGCTGCAATTAATAACACTTTTTCCCCTTACAGTTAAAATTCGAATGCAGATTGATTGTGAGGCCATCACAGACCCTCATTCACAACTAGAGACACCAGGGACAGTGGTTATAGCCAGTCAGGATACCCAAGCTTGTGGTGATGAGCTGGTAGTTACTGGAACATCAGAAGGAATGCCTAAAGGCACACAAGATACCCAGGCAGGAAGCCTCAAGATGGTAGTTACTGGAGCTAAGCGTAAGGCAGTAGAGCTTGCTGCATCTGCTGGTCTACCACTCGTGGGAAGAACAGAAAGCATCGAAGAAGCAGGTGTTAAAACTTATGTTGTACCCAACACACAAGGAGTTCTGGATTTCATCGCACACAAGTACTTTCAGACAGTTGACACAACCAAACGTGAGGAACGAACTGAATTTCTAGAGTTTCTAACAGATGTGCGCAAGGTTCTTGTCCTGGATACCCAGTCAGGAAGTTTGATAATAACAGTCCTGTGTACTTCACTAGAGATACTGGATGCCCTCTGGTATGACTATTGCACAGGTCACCTGAATGACATGGCACAGAAATATCTTGTGACAAAGGACATACTGAAGGAGTTTGACTTGACTGAGCTGAGACTGACAACAACTATTCAGCTGGAGGAATACAAGGCTGCACGAAACTTTTTTCTGCAGGGTTCAGGTGAGCACATACAAAGTGTTTTGGAGAGCTGTCTTTAACTGAATAAACAGGGCATCGTCTAATCATCAATGCTTTAAAACACATTAGCAGAGGTTTGCAAGTTATGTCTTTTTTATGCCCCCTTCACATGTTAACAAATTTGTTGTTTCACCAAATTTAGACAGGTATCATTCAAGAAATTTAATGATCATTTTAAGGAAACTGATCGACTCCTTTTTCTTGGCCAGCCCAAAGAAGTAGATATATTATCAAGCCAATAGTTTAACAGAATCAATAAATGTCTTTGAATAGCCAGCTGAGAAATGTATCAATTTGCAGAAAATGCAGATCTCTGCAAAAAGGGTAATTTATGTAACTGCAGAGCACTCAATTGAAGTTTGCTCGACTGGCATTGGGGAATTTGAACCAGAAGTATCAAGACTAATTTCCAGTAGAATACAAGTGTGATATTATTTAATATGGAGGTGTTAGGGGTTAGTGCACTTTCACTAAGAAATGGCTTAGAAGGAAAAAGTCTTCAAGTTCTCGGTTTTCAAGCTTAGTCAATTTGTTGAAAGTCATGGCTGCTATTTGTAATTATTTTGCTTTTTACATAAAAATTGGGTGGGGCATATGAACACATATTTTACCCAAGGGGATAGGAATTTTAGGAAACCATTCTCCAAAAGTTTAAATGCCCAGGGGTTACTTCAAATTGAGTGACACTTAATTTTTGTCATTATTATTATCACTACTATTGTCACCCACATTATTAGCATCATCATAACTATTAATCTCATCTTCTTCATCATTATTCTTATCATTTATATAATAACTGTGTTTGTCAATAAGAAATATTGCTTTTAGTTCTTATGATTGCAACATTTGGATCTTATTGAATCATTAACTATCTAAATGTAATTAAAGCAGTGGACTCTTCAACACATATAATTATGCCGACTCTCTCATATTGGCAGGGAGTCTCACAGACAGAACGAGAAATTTCTGTCATATGGATCATCAAATCTTCCTGACAAATGAGGATTTTGGTCAGTTCCTCACAGAAACACAAGATCTGAACACCAAATTCCCCATATCCAATGTTATTATGTTTATCTTAGGGCTCTTATCTTGATTTACTTGATTGCGCTTAGATTATTTCAAAGTAGGGACAACCCTTTCTTCTAAATGATGACCACAACAGAAACTGAGTCTAATTGATTGAGCTTTCAAGCAAAAAGAGTATCTCATAAATTAACTGAGTGGGGTTTTTCCTTTAAGGGCACAGAGGGAGACAATTGCTGCTTATGCTTATACACTAATTAACTACAACCAAAGACTTTGACACAAATTATTTTTAATTTTTTTCTTTGCAGCCACAGCTGATGTTTATAGGAATGAGGGTAATGAGGCCTTCAAGAAAGGAGATTTCATCAATGCTATTAATTTTTACACCAGAGGAATTAAAGTGAACTGCAATGAGAAAGAACTGGAGGCCAAACTGTACAACAACAGGGCTATTGCACATTTTAAACTTGGTAAGATGATGAGTGCTAAAAAATATGCAATTTTTCCATTTTGAAACTTAAAGGGCTGTCAGTGGTAGTTTTCTGAAAAAGGTGATGATTTTGAATGTATATGCCCAGAAAGAAATTCTCTAGAAAAATATATGCCTTTTATTGGCCTCTCAAACATACAAAGAAGTAACCTCTTACACCAGATATCAATCAGCATCACATGTTTTTCATAGAATTAATGTAAGGGTGGTGGATTTGCTATATGTACAGCTAATCAGAGATATGTATTTAAAAAACAGGAAATCACCAGGATTCACTTAGGGATGCAGAAGCAGCCATTGAGTTAAATCCAACTTACCTCAAGGCAATTGTGAGAGGTTAGATATAATTGCTGTGCTATTAATAGTAATAATAACAGCAAGAACTGAACACTTTAAGGTTAAATAAAGTTAAATCTTGTCTCAATCGACTTCAATTAAGAGTGCAAGACTGTTGTGCCATGACTTTCCATCATAATGAGAATATTATTTTGAGTTGGATAAAGAACCCATTGCTGAATGAAAGGCAAAATTTTGGCACGAGTATTTTAGTTTCCTTTTGTTCGATGGGTTAGGTAGTGGTGTCAGGTATGTGTAGTCACTATCTAGCTGTTTTGAAAAGAAGTAATGGACTTAACTCAACTCAAAACTGTAAGGAAACTTTCCTCATTCATCAAGTATAACTCAACTTTAAAGGCTATAATACATGTAATAAGAATGTAACTAGAGACAGCATGAGTAAATCTTATTGTTGGTGAACTTTAAACTGTAGCTCGAGTCTCTTGTATTTTGATTGAAGTTGAAATTAAACTCAGTTCTAAAAAAGTTAACCAAAAAATGTACCATTATCAAATAAAAAAAAGTGATTTTCCTTTTTGTGTTTTCCCATGGCATGTCTTGTTATATCTATATCTCTTAGTGATTTTGTGGGAATTGTTAGTCTCAACTCAAATGTCCTCAGAAGTTTCAATTATCAAAAACCAATCTAACTGAAACCTAATAGGGCCTGTTTATTCTTTCCATTTAGTTGCTCTGTCTTTCCTGGTCTGTAATAAGTTAGCTTTCAATGATTTCTGGTTCTTTTTTCGGAATTAAGCCATAGTCATTACATCTCCATTGTGTTGTTTCCTGCAGGAGCCCTTGCCTGTGTTGAACTGAAGAGATTTGAACAAGCAATCACTTGGTGTGATAAGGGATTAGCTGTATCTTTTGAAGAAATGCTTTATTTTTAACTGTCGGTATAATGAAAATATTCCATAATTTGAGGTTTTATGGAAGAAA